GCCCGAGCACAGCTCAGTGACAAGGTCTCCACGGACACAGTGGCTTTCCATGGCAGCTGGCTGACAGTGTGGACCGTGACATATACACAGCGAAGAAGTAACTGGTTTGGCTCCATGGATAGAGCGTCGGCCTGCAGACTGAAGGGACCAAGGCTCCATTCCAGCCAAGGACACATGCCCTGCCCAGGTTGCAGGCTCGATCCCCAATAGGGGGCCTGCAGAAGGCAGCGGATCAACGATTCTCTCTCATCATTGATGTTTCTCTATCACTCTCCCGCTCTGACATTAAAAAAAAAATAGCAAAAAGAAAAGGCATTGCTTCCTTTAGGGCAGTGGTCAGCAAACTGCTATTGACTGACTTTGCCGGCCACTGCGTAAGCATTACCCCTATCCAGAAGTTTTGACTTCGTGTTGAAGACATTAATACATTAAAATTGTTTTTCCTAAGGCAGTGGTCGGCAAACTCATTAGTCAACAGAGCGGCAAACTGCGGCTCGCCGACCACTGCTCTAGAGTGGGGTTACACAGCTTTTTCAAGTACCAACACTCAGCAGCATATTCAGTAAGCACTCAGCGTGAAAACACGGGAAAGGCTAGGCAGGAAGTGTGCACCCATGTGTGTGTGCCCGTGAGTGTGTGCCCGTGCGTGTGCACCCATGCGTGTGTGTCCGGGCGTGTGCACCCATGCACACTGAGGCAGGGGAGGGAGCAGGAATGAGAGCCAGACCACAGATGATACTTCGCCCAAGAAGTGGCCACATGAGCATGCGAGAGGTCCAGAGCCAATCACCAAAGAGCCTCCTACAAGCCGGAAGCCGTTGTCTGTGAGGGCCGGGGCTGGGGGCCTGGGGCTTCTGACTGTCTCAGCAAATGTGTGTCCGGCTCAGTTGTATCCCAGCGGCCGGCCAGGCTTCTTACAGGGGCAGTCAGCACATACTGGCGTTTCCACAGAGGCTACATGCTGTGTGGGCACGGGGCCAGTGGAAGGCAGGCGGGCAGCAGAGATGGCAGTGGAAGGCAGGCCGTGCAGGCTGCGGGCTGCGCGCCCAGGAGGCTGCCTGGCTGTCAGCAGAGGCGTCCATGCCCCCAGAGACGGGCCGGAGAGGCTGGCACAGGCTGTCCCCGGACCAGAAGCCAGCCCTGCCCTGGGCCCGTGGAAGTTCCTGGAACGTGGGCCCAGCCCTGGAGAAAGCACTTCTCGGAACCAGTGGTTTTCAAAAGGGAGCCCCCCCCCCAGCCCCGCCCGTGTGTCTGGCAGCCTCTGGAGACATTCATGCTGTCAGGGCCGGAGAGTGGGTGCTAATGGCATCTGGTGGGTAGAGGCCAAGAACGCACTCCCACCCACAGTGCCCGGCCCGGCCTGCGCCACAGACAGAATCAGAGTCCGGGTGCCCCCCAGGGTGGGCCCTGCTGAGCGTCGGCAGGCCCAGGCCTGGTCCCGGTGCCGTTCGGTCCAGCCACTGGGCGTGACCAGAACTTTCCACCCAGAGCTCCGGAGCTGGCAGCGCTGGCGCCACCCTTCCGCTGGCTTTCTCCGGCCGCCGCTGTTCTCCTGCCCACGCCCCTGGCAGCCCCCGCTCAGCGCAGGCTGCTGGCCCCGAGGCCCTGGGAACATTCCTGACCTTTGCTTTGGTTTCCTCCAGCTCTTGGCAGCTTCGCTGGCCCTCTGAGCACCCCAAGCCCAGCTCGTGGAGGTGCCCATTGTTCTCGCTGCCTCTTGGTCTCGGGCCTGCGCCCTCTTTGCACCCTCCTCTGCAGGGGTCGGAGAGGCAGGCCCCGCCCAGAGAGGCCTGCGGTTCCTCCCGCCTGTCGGGCTGCCCCCCTGATGCCCAGTCCCAGGCAGGAGAGAGTGGCCAGGCCCTTAGAGCTTCCGATGGGAGCTGGGTGGCCTGGGCCAGCACCCCCCTGCTCTTAGGGTGACATGTGAACAAGCCCGGACCCTCCTCACTCCCCCCGCCCCCACACACACACACTGGTTCTGGGAAGATGGAGAGAATCCGCACAGCTGGCTCTCGGGGCAGGGGCAGGGCTGTGGGGAGGCAGAGAGCCTCTCCCGGGAGGGCTGGCTCCTGAATTATGGATGCGCGGGAGTGAGTGCCTCCGAAGGAGCCGGGGAGGCCCCGCCCTGAGCCCTCCTGGGGAGAAGGCCCCCCCCCCAAGCCCCGGGTCAGCTAGGAAGGTGCCCCCAGGTTGAGCCTGAAGGCTTTGCCTCTGAGCTAGGAAGGGGCTGAGCCCATGGCATCCGGCCAGAGCCAGCTTCCCTGCCCAGGACTCTGCCCACCGGGCTCTGCGGTGTGTGCGCCCAGGGGGCAGGCCCGGGCTCCATCCTGACCCTGTGTGACCCCTCCCCCGGCAGTGACATGCAGGACTGCCCAGGCCCACAGCTCCGTGAGCACGGGTGGGGCTGAGCGGGGCTGGGCCGGCCGAGGGCTGGGAGCCGCAGGTCTCCACTCCCGCTCCGCTGCCCGGCAGATGAGGGCCCAGCTCTGACCTGGGTCCCACACGCCCCACCCCACCAAGCCTCACAGGTAAAGAGGGGAGAATAGCGGGACTGCAGGCTGTCACAGCAGTGTGCACATGGGCACCTCCTCGTGGCTCAGCTGTCCCCTTGCAGGCTCAGCCTTCCCTGAGGAGCTCACATCCCCACGTGGCTCTCCCACCCCCTCCGAAGCCAAGGAGCAGGGACCTCTTTGCTCCCAGAGGCCGCGCCCAGCTGGCTGGCTCACTGGCCGCTCCTGGGGGTCCCAGCCACGTCCCTCCTCCTCCTCCCCAGGACCTGCGCTGGGCGCCACGCTGTTCTGTGTGGACACAAATGGGACCACATACCAACCCCGACGGGCTCGGGAGCCGGTGGTGGGCCTACAGACTCAGACGCTGAAAGTGGCCGCACAGGAGGGTCTGACATAACCGTCATGGCGGGCACCCCACCCCAGGCCTGTCTGCCGCCTCTGCTCTAAGACGGAATGTCAGCCCCCCACCCCTTTCCTGACCCCTCAGGGCACCCATGCCAGAGCAGAGACCACAGAAGCCCTCATGCCATCTTGTTCCCCCAAACGCCATCTCGAGGTGCTGTCCCTGAGAATTTTCAAGTCCTTGTCACCAGTGTAGGAGAAGGGTGTCTGCTGCACCTGTTACCCAGCCCAGGGGCCCCCGCACTTTCTCCCCCTCAACCCCCACCAGGGGTTCCATGCCCCCCTGACGCCTGCCTTTGTCCCGCTCGCTGTATAAAACAGCTGCACGCTGGCGCTCTCCGGAGCGTTTTCTCAGTTTGTTAAGATTCTCCTTCCGGCTGTCAGGTAGGCTCAAACCCATGATTCTCTGCACGTTTGGAGGTTTCTTATATTGACATGCTCAACCTTCTTGCAAAGGGTATTTTCTGGGCCCGGCCACGGGGCTTGGACCCCAGAGTGAGTGGCAAACGCGGGGAGGAGCTTGGCGCTGGCAGCCAGGGACCAGGGACGGGGTGCAGTCCGAGTGCAGGAGGCCGCCCGCGGGTCCTGCCGGGAGGGAGGAGGAGTTGGAGGGAGGAGGAGGAGGAGGGGCGCCCTCCCTTCCAGGAGCAGGGGAAGCGCTCAGCGAGGAAGCTGTGCAGCGTTTCCTTCCTTTCTCACCAGCCCCTGCGGGGGCCCTGACGACCTGGGCTTGGCTGGGAACCGCGGCTTCGGGTGTGAGAAGGGCCCCAGCAGGCCTGCAGGGACTCCCAGGAGCCACTGAGGACTGGGCTGGGCCCTGCTTGGGAATTCCCGGCCACAGTGCCCTGTGCGCACCCACACGCTCTCTGCACCCCTGGGCCACCCGGGCGATGGCCGCCCAGAGGCCACCCTCCCCGGGGCTAAGGGAGTGCCCTCCGCCCACGCCCAGGGCAGGGGAAGAGAAGGTCTCCTACGTCCTCCCACCCACTCGGCCCTCATCCTCCCTGTCACCGAAGGGAGCAGGAGGCCTGGGCAGGGCGCGGAGCTGGTGGCTGGGGCTTGGGCCTGTGCCTCCCGGACCTGAGCAGACCAGCGGGCAGGACAGCAACGGGGCCAGCCCATCCCTCCCTGAGGGTCAGTGTGCACTCCTTACTCCCGTCCTCCTGCCTCTGCCTAATCAGATCTGCGCCTGGGAAAGTGTCCAGTAAGCACACTGACCGTGAAGGGTCAGCCCGTTCTGTAAGTCCGCGCGGTGGCTCAGAGGCCGGGTGGCCGCCTGGGGAGTGTGAGTTGCGCCTTCTCACTCTCCAGATCCATGGAGCTCCTCAATCAAGTTGGGGTGTCAGTGAGGGAGGCACACTGAGGGCCAGGGCTGCCTGTGAGCACTCCAGGGACCAGACTCCGGTCCCGGCTCGGGCTCTCCTTGGCTGTGTGACCTCGGGCCAGCTGCTCAGCCTCTCTGAGCCTCGGCGCCGCCTCTGTGACCGGTGCAGTCGGAGGATGAACTGAGATAACCTTGGCAGGGCGCCCGGCCAGTCAGCAGCACCTGGTGCGGACGTGGGCACCCTGTGACCCACTGCCTCACCCAGCGGGAGGCCCCGGCCTGGACAAATAGATGCTGGCAGACAGGGTCCTGGTCAGGGGGGCGACCCCGGGGCCACCCCCAGGGCCACGCCTCCCGCCCTGCAGGTGCAGCGGGCGCCCTCTCGGGCGCAGAGCCAGGCCGACCCCCTGCCATCCCTGCACTCAGATAAAACCCGGTCCCAGGAGCGTCTGTCCTCCGTGGCTTCCGGCCAGCCCACCTCCACTCAGCTTTCGGGACTGACAGGCTTCGAAGAACAGGAGCCACTGCGGAGCCAGCCGAAGCTTCGGCCCGCAGCCCCACGCACCGGCCTGGCGGACTGCCCGGCCCTCAGGCCATTCCCCGCCCCAGGCCAGACAGGCGGGCATCCCGGCACTCACTCAGCCTCACGGCTGCCCAGCCTGTAGACAGCACTAGCCCGTTTCACAGGTGAGCCACTGAGGTCCAGGGAGCCCGCTCTGGCTGAGCTGGGCCCAGGGCCTCCCCGAGCCCAGGCTCCTCCTTACCGTCGGTCGCTGCTGATGTCCTCAGCCTCTGGCCTCCAGGCCCCAGGCAGCCCGGGGCTGGGTGGCTCAGAGAACTTGGGACCGGGGGCCTGAGCCGAGGCCCCCAGCAGCCCCCAGCCCAGCGCCCCCCCGAGGCTGAGCAGCAGAGTCAGGATCATCTTGGCAGGGAGCAGGCTCAGCCGCTGCGGGTGATTCCAGAAACTGCTTCAGGGGAAGGCTCCGAAGGAAGAGAAGGCTGGGACAACAAAGAGAGGAAGTGGCCTAGGCCGGCCCACCGGTGCATGTGGTCCAGCCACACACACACACACACACACACACACACACTCACACTCTCACACACACACACACACACACACACTCACACACTCTCACACACTAACACACACACACACTCACACTCTCACACACACACACACACACACACTCACACACACTCACACACACACTCACACACACACTCACACACACACACACACTCACACACACTCACACACACACTCACACACACACTCACACACACACACTTACACACACACACACACACACTCACACACACTCACACTCACACACACACTCACACACACTCACACACTCTCACACACTAACACACACACACTCACACACACACATTCACACACACTAACACACACACACTCACCCACTCACACACACACACACTAACACACACACACTCACCCACTCACACACACACACTAACACACACACACTAACACACACACACTCACACACACACACACTAACACACACACACTCACACTCACACACTCTCACTCACACACACACACACACACTAACACACACACACACTCACACCCACTCACACACACTCACACACACACACACACACACACACACACTAACACACACACACACACTCACACACACTCACACTCACCCACTCACACATACACTCACACACTCTCTCACACACACACACACACAAACACTAACACACACACACACTCACACCCACTCACACACACTCACACACACACTAACACACACACACACACTCTCTCTCTCTCTCTCTCTCTCTCTCCCCACCCCGCACAGAGGCAGTCAGCAGCCCAGCTGGTTCCCAGGCCCCGAGAGGACCTGTGTCAGGGACCTGGGAGTGTGGGAGGCCCACGTGTGGTGGAGTTACACAGACGGGAGCGGAGCGAGGACGAGGGCCCGGTGTCTAGCAAGGACAAAGGTAGGTGGGACCTCCCCCGCCCGGGGCGCCTGTGCTCTCCTAGCAGGCGGTGACCTTTCTCGCTGGAGGTGGCAGCTAGGGCTCAGTTGTGTCTCAGCTCAGACCCAGAGGCAGCACAACCAGACGAGTGACACCGAGGCTGCCTCAGGACCAGTCTGTGGAGATCTCCATCCTGAGAGGACACACGTGGAAAGCTGCTGAATATGTTACTGAGACTTCCTCCGGGACCTCTCCCGCCCTCCGGGGGCAGCAAGCCTTTCCCTTCCTCTTCTCAGGCTGCTCTCCGCTGCCCCCTCACTCCCCAGCTCCAGGCCCTCCTTCACCGCTATAACTCATTGCTTAAGCTCATTTCTTCTACAAATTACTTCTTCCCCCTCTGTGAGTTTATAAATGAAGTAGAGGCCCTGTCCACAAAATTCGTGCACAGAGGGGGGTGTCCCTCAGCCCAGCCTGCACCCTCTCCATCTGGGACCCCTTGGGGATGTCTGACTGCCGGTTTAGGACTATCCCCTGTGGGTCTGGCCTAAACTGCCAGTCGGACATCCCTCTCACAATCCGGGACCGCTGGCTCCTAACTGCTCCCCTGCCGGCCTGATTGCCCCCAACTGCCCTCCCCTGCTGCGACCTGCCTCCTCTGCCGGGACCACCTCCTCCACACCACGAAGAGCCACAGGACTCTCAGGCCTCACTGTGTGGAGCAGCTCCCGGGCCCCGCCAACAATGTGCATGCGGCCATCTTGTGATGACGTGAGGGCATGATGCCCCCTGGGCTATTACTAGTATAGATGTTCTCCTATAGTTTGGGTCTTGGCTCTGCATTCTTTCCTAGCCGGAACTCAAGAGCTGAGGCTGCCAAACCCAGGTCCCGTCAGACCCCACCTGGTGCCATTCCTGCTGCACAAGGAGGTGCCCTTCCTCCCCACCCCCAAACCCCCACCATGTCCCACGGAGACAGAGAAGAGCACAGGGCTGAGGGGCCATAGAAGGCATTGGTGGGTCTCAGGGAGCCTGCTGTGCATTCATGCTGGTGGCCAGCATGCGGGAGCACTTCTCCCTGCTCAGTGCCGTCACCCGGGAGCACAGGGGGAGGCTGGGTCTGAGGTCTGAGGGCTCGGTGCGCGCCAGAGGCCAGGGCAGGGGAAGCCTTCGGCCCACCCCAGCTCCTCCTCGCACAGCAGGAAGGCTCTGCCGGGAGTGGCTGGGCAGCCCCGACGGGTCTGGAAGGTTGGCCACTCTTGCCTGACAGGCCTGGGTGGCCCTGACCCCTACCCTGCCTGGGTGCTGGGAGCAAAGCTCCTCCCCTACGGCCCAGCTGTCACAGACACACAGCCCCAGGCCGAGCACGCCTGGCCAGGGCGGCCCTGCGGGTGTCAGGGCAGCAGGTGGGTGAGAGGCGGTGCTGGCTGAGGGGGTCCAGGCCGGCCGCCCCTCTGCACCTCCCCCGGGGCAGGAGCGGGTGGAGCCCGCCGGCTCAGGGGGCCTGGACCCCGCTGCCAGCTCCCTCCCCTCCTCCCTCCCTCCCTCCCTCCCCTTCCCTCCTTCCCCCCTCCTTCCTCCTGCTCTCCCTCCCCCGTCCCACCCCCAGGCTGGCTGGGCTTCCATAGGCCAGCGGCTGCATCATCAATATTTCACCGGCGTCAATAAGAGGCGGCAGCGGGGACAGGGCTGCGGAGCACTGCCAGCGCCAGCACAGCCCCAGGGAGCCGGCTTCCGCTCACCGCTCACCATGGACGTCTTCAAGAAGGGCTTCTCCATCGCCAAGGAGGGTGTGGTGGGTGCCGTGGAGAAGACCAAGCAGGGGGTGACGGAGGCGGCTGAGAAGACCAAGGAGGGGGTCATGTATGTGGGTGAGTGTGGGCGGGGCCCTGGGGGCTGAAGCTGAGAGGAGGACTGGCTGTAGCATCAGCCTCTGGGCCTGAAGCACCCCACTCTCCGGCATCCAGTGTCCATTCGGACTTCCTCGGGGCCCAGGAGTCTCTGGGGCAGGGCAGCAAGAGGGGTGCCGCTCCGAGACACACCTGTTTGTGCTCACGTGCACGGACACAGCCCTGCCCCCGGGGGCCCCGGCCCTGGGCTCAGTGCGGGGGAAGCCACCCACCCACACCCAGGCCTCCACGGCAGGGGGAGGGGTGGGAGGGGGAGTAAGGCCCAGCCCCTCCCTCCGGAGGAAGAGGAGGCCGAGCTGATGACTCAGCTCCGGTCCCAGCTGCTCCTGCCACCTCCGGTCTCTGCACCCGCCATCCTGTCCCAGACACAGCAGGAAGCCCTTTGAAGGGCCTGCCAGCCTGCAGACACCGTCCTCACCATACCGACCCCAGCTTGCCCTGACACCTCACCCCAGCACCAGCCGGGGTGGGTCTGGGCTGATGCCTCCGCTTCCTCCCCAGGAGCCAAGACCAAGGAGGGTGTGGTGCAGAGCGTGACCTCAGGTGAGGAGCCGGGACCAGGGGGTGGAGGGGCCCGGACCTCCAGGTACTGAAGGGCCAAGCTCAGGTCCTCCTTATTCCCAACCGGGGTCCGGAGCTGTGCACAGACCCAGACCCTCAGAACCCGGGCTGGCCTCCCAGGCCGCCGAGCCCCGGCCCAGGGAAGGGGCAGCCTGGGCTCTCGGCAGAGCCAGAGGCTTGAGGCCCTGGAAGGGGCTGCAGAGGCAGGGGGCAGGCTGGCTGGCAGGGAGGGCTCAGGGCCGAGGCCAGCCGGCGTCCTCCCACAGTGGCCGAGAAGACCAAGGAGCAGGCCAACGCTGTGAGCGAAGCGGTGGTCAGCAGCGTCAACACCGTGGCCACCAAGACGGTGGAGGAGGCGGAGAACATCGCCGTCACCTCGGGAGTGGTGCGCAAGGTGAGCCTGGCCGCCCGCGCCCCCTCCCTCCTCCCTCCTCCCGCCCTGTGAGCGGCCCGGCTCTGCGGGGCCGCGTCTGAGCAGCGCCCTCCGCCTCCCAGGCTGGGAAGCAGCGCCCTCTGCTGGTGGAGACTGAGTTTGCACCCTCCCTCCTTGGCCTTTGTGTGCTGCTGAGTGTGCGCCGGAGAGTGTGTGAGTGTGTGTGTGTGTGTGAGTGTGTGTGTGTGTGAGTGTGTGTGAATGTGTGTCTGTGAATGTGAGTGTGTGTGTCTGTGTATGTGAGTGTGTGTGTCTGTGTATGTGAGTGTGTGTGTGTGTGTGAGAGAGTGTGTGTGAATGTGAGTGTGTCTGTGAGTGTGTGAATGTGTGTGTGTGTGTCTGCGTGTGTGTGAGAGTGTGTGTGTGTGTGTGAGAGAGTGTGTGTGAATGTGAGTGTGTGTGTCTGTGAATGTGAGTGTGTGTGTCTGTGTATGTGAGTGTGTGTGTGTGTGTGTGTGTGTGCGCGCGCGCGTGTGTGTCTGTGAATGTGAGTGTGTGTCTGTGTATGTGAGTGTGTGTGTGTGTGTGTGAGAGAGAGTGTGTGTGAATGTGAGTGTGTCTGCGTGTGTGAGTGTGTGTGTGTGAGAGTGTGTGTGTGTGTGTGTATGAGAGAGTGTGTGTGAATGTGAGTGTGTCTGTGAGTGTGTGAGTGTGTGTGTGCGCGCGCGTGTGTGTGTGTGTGTGTGTGTGTGTGTGTGCTGCCCCTGCAGAGCGCACAGGAACAGCGGGCACCCCCGGAGGCGGCTGGCAGGTGAAACACGCCCCCCCCCGCCCGCCCTGGGCAGCTCTGTTGGAAGCACTGGCCAGGCATCACTCCCTTAGCTCAGAGCTCCCTTAGCTCGGAGCGCCCTTAGCTCGGAGCTCCCTTAGCTCGGAGCTCCCTTAGCTCGGAGCTCCCTTAGCTCGGGGCTCCCTTAGCTCGGAGCGCCAGGCAGGGTGCAGATGAGGCCCAGCGAGGCTGTGCCTGCGCCCCACGCTAGGGGCCTTGCAGGGGCTCGGCCCAGCTCTGCCCGTCCTAGCTCCACGTGGGAGGCTCCTCAGCCTCCCTGGACCGCCATGGCCTCATCTTTTCTTAATCTTCGCCTGAGGTTATGCTTTACTGATTTGTTTTGTTTTGTTTTGTTTTGAGAGGGAGAAAGGGGTAGGGAAAGTGAAAGACATCAGCCAGCTGCCTCCCGTACATACCCCCACCCGGGGATGGAACCTGAAACCTGGGAATGTGCCTTGACTGGGATTCGAACCCTTGACCTTCCGGTGCACAGGATGATGCCCAACCAACCGAGCCACCCAGGCCAGGGCACCCATTTCCTCCTCTTTGAAATGGGAGGGGCGAGAGTGTGTCCCACTGGCTGTGTGACAATGCAGGGAATGGCCCCCAGGAGGCCACGAGGACAGCCCCATGGTGAGCACCCAACAGAGGCGGGTGCCTGGGCAGCACCCCGCCCCCCGTGTGCTGCAGGACACACCAGGCCTCCCCCTGCTCCCAACACCAGCTGCTCTGGGTGGGCAGCTCCTGGGCACTCCCCCCGAACCTCGAAGGCTCTGACCCTTGGAGCCGCCCAGTCACCACTCACCCTCCAGTGGCCCGCCCGGCCACTCCTGCCGCCCACCACGCCTGCTCTGGGAGCAGGACTAAGCAGGTGGCCACACACACACACACACACACACACACCCCGAGAGCCTGCGCCCACTCCGGCTGACATTGGTGCTGGTTTACGCCCCGCCCATGAAGGGTAGGGTGGTGGCACAGAGGTGCCGCCCTGTCCACCAGCGGCCACACAGCCCCCCCGCGGCCACCGCTAGGCCTGCCGCATCTCAGGCAAGTATCCGCCTGGGTGCGCGGAGACAGGAGAGGACAGTGCGAGTCAGACGGCCGGCGCCCAGGAGGCGGGGAGGGCAAGAGGAGGCACTCCTGCTCCTGGGCCCGGCGAGGGCCTGGAGCAAGCCCGCCTGATGCCCGCAGCCCCCTGCTGTGCGTGTCCGGCCTCCAGCTGGACACCTGGCTCCCTGCCTCAGGGCCCGTGTGAGCAGTGACCGATGCTGTCCCTTCTGGGGACTCCGGAGGACAAGGGTGTGTGGTCATTGATTCAGGGAACTGAGGTGGGGGGAGGCCTAGGGCTTCTGGGGCCACTGCCCGCCCACCAGGCTCCTCAGGGAGGCCCAGCCAGGGGCTGCCCAGGCCTCAGCACCAAGCTGAGCTCCGGGGAGTGTGGACCCTGCGGCCGTGCACCATCAGACAAGCCCTCCCGCGGCCCTCCCATGACCGTCACTCCCAGGCCGTCTGGCCCTCGCACGCCCTCACCTTGGACCGCGTGTGCAGAGGTGTGAGGGCTCTGCTCCCTTTGGGGCCAGGAGGCTCTGCGCCCACCAGGCCCCACGCCTTCTCTCCCCACAGGAGGAGCTGAAGCCACCCGCCCCGCCCCAGGAGGATGAGGCAGCCAAAGAGGAAGCAGCTGAGGAGGTAGGAGCTGGGCCCCCGAGCTACCCTGGGACTCCACCCCTCACAGACTCGCTGCTTCCCCCTGGGAACCAGCGCCCTCCGGTGGAGGGTGGAGATAACTCCTGTCCCTGCCCGCAGGGCTGTGAAGGTCTCTCTCTCCTAGGCCAAGAGTTGGGACGACTAGCGGGCTGCGGGTCAGCTGCAGAGTCCAGAGACCCCTCGCGTGGAGCCCCCGCCGCTGTGCCCGTCCGTCCTGGAGCGTGGCCTGCGGGCGCCTGCTCCTGGCACCCCGGCCGGTCTCCCGTGCTGTGCCCCTCCGTCCTCTCCCTCGCCCTCAGCCTCCGGGCCTTCCATCCCCACAGACGCTGCGGGTTCTTCTTTTCAGTGGTTTCAAATAAAGCCCAGTCCCCACAGCCGGTCCTCCTGTCCGGCCTCCTGTGTGCGCCCCGGCCTCGAAGGGAAGGGAGGCGGGGCCGTGGCCTTCCCTGGACCCTGCATTTCTGGGACCTGCTGGCCGCTGTCCTGCCTTCAGGGAATTCCTCTGGCCCCGACCATCCGTCACTGCCTCTCCCTGAGGGGTGGCCCTGCTCTGGGCTCCGCACAGGCCCAGGTCCCAGCTGTGCTCAGCCTCCGGGACGGCCGCCAGCAGAGGGGGACCCCGGTCTCCGGGCCATGCTGCCAGTGCTGGCTCCAGGGTCCTTCGGAGAAAGGGACACCTAGCACCCCGCCTGGATCGGTGGTAACTTTCCAAAGGTGAAGCCTAAACCCTTAGCCAGGCCTTCCATCCTCCTCTCACCGAAGACAGGCTCTCCAGCAGCCTAAGCACCAGCTCCACCTCCCCGCTCCCCCACCCACCTCCACCTCCTACCTCCCCCCTCCCCCTCCCACCCCCCACCCACCTCCACCTCCCGCCTCCCTCCTCCCTCTCCCACCTCCCTCCTCCCGCCTCCCGCCTCCCGCCTCCCACCTCTCTCCTCCTCTTCCTCCCTCTTCCTCCCCACCTCCCACCTCCCACCTCCCACCTCTCTCCTCCCTCCTCCCCACCCACCTCCTGCCTCCCACCTCCCACCTCTCCTCCCTCCTTCCTCCTCCCTCCTCCCTCCTCCACCTCCCGCCTCTCTCCTCCCTCCTCCCCACCCACCTCCCACCTCCCACCTCCCAGCTCCCACCTCTCTCCTCCCTCCTTCCTCCTCCCCACCCACCTCCCACCTCCCACCTCCCAGCTCCCACCTCTCTCCTCCCTCCTTCCTCCTCCCTCCTCCCCACCCACCTCCTGCCTTCCACCTCCCACCTCTCTCCTCCCTCCTTCCTCCTCCCTCTCCCACCTCCCACTTCCCAGCTCCCACCTCTCTCCTTCCTCCTTCCTCCCTCCCCCACCTCCCGCCTCCCACTTCCCAGCTCCCACCTCCCTCCCCCACCTCGCTCTCCCCTCCCACTCATCTCCCACTCCCACCTCCCACCCTCCCACCTCCCTCCTCCCACCCACTCCTCCCCTCCCTCCCCACTCCTCCCACCTCCCACCTCCCACCTCCCCCATCCTCCCCCCACCTCCCCGCCCTCCCACCTCCCACCTCTCCTCCCTCCCTCCCTCCCTCTCCCCGCCTCCCTCCCACACCCTCCCGCCTCTCTCCCTCCCCTCCCTCCCCACCCACACTCCCACCTCCTCCCCTCCCGCCCCCCACTTTCCCCTCCCCCTCCCTCCTCCCTCCCCCATCTCCCGCCTCCCACTTCCCAGCTCCCACCTCCCTCCTCCCCCCCCCCTCTCCCCGCCCCTCCCACCTCCCAGCTCCCACCTCTCTCCTCCCTCCTTCCTCCTCCCTCCCCCACCTCCCGCCTCCCACTTCCCAGCTCCCACCTCCCTCCCCCACCTCGCTTCTCCCTCCCCCATCTCCCGCTTCCCGCTTCCCACTTCCCAGCTCCCACCTCTCTCCTCCCTCCTTCCTCCTCCCTCCTCCCACCTCCACAACAAGGGGTGTGCCAGGACCATTAGGAGATAAGCAGCTGAAGGCGCAGGAGAGAAACATAGCGTTCTGAGAGCTTCACCTCATTTCATCCTCGGCGTCCCTGTCTGGTCCCAGTTTCTCGGAGAGGGAACTGAGGAACAGAGAGGTTAAGTACCTTCCCCAAGGGCACGCAGCCAGGAAGTGTGGGACTGAGCAGGCCCAGGCGGCCACCCTCCAGAGCCACTCCGTTAACTGTGAAAAACAAGATTCAACCAGGATCTAAGTGGCTTTAGCAGGCGACTCATCCCAGGCCGGCTGGTTAGCTCTGGAGGGTTGAGGCTGCAGTTAGAGCAGGTGTCACATCGGGTCTGGTGTCAGGGTTTTCAGCACCAGCGACCCCGTTTGGGGCCTGTGCTTTCTCGTTGAGGACTCCCAGACTCTGCCTCGGCAGCGCCCCGCTCCAGTGCGGCTGGCCGCTGTCCTGCCTGAGGCAGCTCAGGTGGCTGAGCGGAGACCAGGTGTTCCCTCCCTTTTGACACCAGACAGCTTGGGCCCAGAGCATGCAAGTGACTTGCCCCAGGCCTCCGCCCTGGGTGCTGGGGTCAGAGAATGGCCTCCGGGTGGCCATCCTGCCTCGGTGGGGAGCAGGGACAGGGCGCCCGGGGCTGGAAACCAGCAGGCAGAGCTGAGCTGGGCTAGCTCCCGCCTGCTGGGCATGGACACCCACCGCTGCGGAGGCCGACGGGAGCCGGGGCTGCTGGTCCCTGGGCAGAGGGAAGGGTCTCGAAGGGTCCTGCTCCCAGGCCGCCCAGCACATGACTCAGCAGGTCTGCCAGGCCCAGAGGAGGCCGCAGGGCCTGGCGGGCCGCGCGGTGCTTGCTGGGCTGCAGAGCAGGAAGGAGCTGGCCACACAGGCGCCTGGGGCAGGGGCGCTAGACCTGGCCTCGGGGATCAGTGCTCCCCACGAGCCTGCCTCGCTGCAGAGGTGGCCTGCTCGGCTCCACCCGCACACTCAGGGCCGTTCCCGCCGGGCCGGGCCGAGGCCTGCGCGTCCGGGGCAGCCTGCCCGCCTGCGGGGCGCTGGGCCCCGGCCTCCTCCGTGCCAGCTGCCCGCTCCCAGCCCCGCGGCCTGCCCCTCTTCCAGGGCCCTCGCTGCGTCTGGGCACCCTTCGGCCATTTCCTCCCCAATCTCACTCTGTCCCCCATGACAGGCCCTGCCCCGGGCGGGGGGTGGAACGGAGCCGCTGCCTCAGGAGGCTGGCGGGCGGGCGGTGTGACCAGGATGGGGGCCAGGGCCCCAGTCTGCCTCAGGCATTCCCGCAGAGCTGTGTGCCCCGCCAGGCGGCCCTGCCTGAGGCCTTCCCCGCCTGCCTCAGCCGCCCCTCATCCTGCCAGGGCTGACCTGCCCTCCATCACCCTTCCGCCGAGTGCGCAGTGCCAGCACTGCCCCTCCCGCCCCTCCTGTCCGCCCCCTGGGCTCTCTGGGCCTCGGTAGGTGGGCCCAGAGCTTCAGGACGGGGAGACTCCAGGGAGGAGCAGGCAGGCCTGGCGAGGAGGAGCCAGCAGCAGGAGAGGGCGGGATGCCGCAGACTGGGGGGGGGGGGGGGCGCGGCAGCGGTGGCCTCTAGGCTCCCCGTGGGTGAGCTGAGGCAGGTGGGGCTGCCCTTCGCCTTCCGATGCAGGCAGGACGGGCAGCCCCTGGGCTCCTGGACCCTCAGCACCTAAGGCCCTGGCCGGCCGGGGCGCGGGCGGTGACTCACTCTCCAGCGCTCAGCGCCTCCTCTCTTCCCGTAGCTGGTGGCATGGCTTCCCGGGGCTGTGCCGGTTGGAAGGCGGCCCCCAGCGCCTGGCACAGGACGCGCTCATTAAAAGCAGCTGCTGGGTTAACTGCTTGTGATCCTGACCTGGCGCTGCTCACGCACAGGTCCCGGGAGCCCCTGGCCGTGAGGGAGAGCAGGCCGCTGGGTGTGGGGGTGGGCCCCCTTCCTGCCCTCAGACCCTCTCCAGCCCCGGCCCTCTGCAGGTCCTGGCTCCTCTACCGCGCGGGGGCCGGGCTGCGCCGGGCGGTGGAGCCTGGAGCAGGGCCAGGTCACTCCTCCAGCTCGTGCACCGGGAACCGCCCTGCCCCCCCTCCCTCCTCCCCCTTCCCAATGCGGGTGGCCCGCCCCGGGCTCCCTTTAAAAACCACAGTCACAGCCGCTAGCTAGATCAAACGTCGCACACACCACCCAGGACCACGCAGACCGCACCATGGCCGGCAAGGGCTGGCAGGACCTGAAGCAGCAGGTGGAGGGGACTGCCCAGGAGGCAGGTGAGAGGCGCTCAGCCTGGGCATTCGCGGGCGCGGCTGGGTGCTCTGAGCAGGGTCCCGCCCAGGAGGGGAAGCTGGTAGGGGGCTCAGGCTCCAAGCCCGCCCTCCCCTACGAAGCGGGTCTGGCAGGACACCCACCCTGACAGCCGGGAGCCGGGCTGCACTTTGGGGATTGCTAGAGCCCGTCGGGGAGGCCCCGAGGGGTCCTTGGGGCGGGTGAGAGTGCACTGCAACTGAGCCTGCCTCTGCCACCCCGCTCAGCACACAGCCCGATAGGATGGTGGCACCCACCTCCCTGGGCTTTGTCCTGCGTTTTCCTCCCCCTGAAAGTTTTCCTTTCTTTTCAATATCCAGCTGGAGGACCCCCCACCCCCCCAGCAGAGCAGGTCCCAGCCTGGTTGCTCTGCCTCAGCTATTGACTGCTCTGGCTGAGGTCACACAGCCAGGGAGGGGGAGGGGAGAGCCTGTGAAGGGACCGGCACCGGTGTCAGCTCATCTTCCCTGGGATTACGGCTCCCGCTCCAGGCCCTCCTGCAGTCTCACCGCGGCTCACCCACCCCCTCTCACCAGCGCCCGGGGAGCCTCCTTCTGCGGGCCCTCCTCTGGACCCCACTTATCTGCAAGCGGGGTGCAGAGCTTGCTTTGGTCCTGGCTATGTCACACACACCCGGGGTGTGGGAAGGCAAGCCCTGTCCTCTTCAGAAGCAAGGAGGAGTCAGATCCCTGGAGGCCGGAGCCAGCCGTCTGCCCGCAGAGGTGCTGGGCACACCCCCCCGCAGGCCCCATAGACCCCACAGGCCCCACAGGCCCCACTCTGGTCAGAGAAGGGGCCTGGCAGGGCGGTTCTGCCTCCGGCTGCACTCTGCCTCAGCTGCCGGCCGGGCGCACTGGCACGGTCAGCGGTGCCCCCTCGGTGGAGGCACAGGAGAGGAGGTGGGGAGGGCCCTGAGGAAGGGGAGACCCCGATGCTCTAAGGGCGGGAGCCCAGGCATCTGGGGGCTCTCACAGGGGGCAGGGTTCTTCTGGACCAGGCCCAGCAGCCATAGCCCAGAGCCATCTCCAGCCCCGCCGCCCGGCCCCGCCCGCCTTCCTGTGCGCCGTCCTGGGTTGGCGGGAAGCAGGCAAGCGGGTAGGAGCCCAGGGTTATAAATAAACAACACCCAGAGGCCTGGAAGCCGCTCACGCCTCAGGGCTGGGGGCCTTGGTCAAGGGGCTTTACTTACCTTGATGACATCCGTCCCTCGGGCCTGGGGGACAGGCTACTCCAGAGCACAGATGGGGGAGGGGGTGGCAGGGGGGGGCCCTGTGGCCCATGGGCCTCAGCAGGGCCTAAAGGTACATCTTATATCTGTTTCAGTGACTGCGACGGGAGCAGCAGCCCAGCAAGTGGTGGATCAGGCAGCAGAGGCTGGGCAGAAAGGTCTGGGGCTGGGGACTGGCTGGGCGGAGGGCAGTGGGGTGGGGTTGGGGCCGGGCTGGGGCGGAGGGCAGTGGGGTGGGGCTGGGGCCGGGCTGGGGCGGAGGGCAGGGGGGTGGGGCTGGGCTGGACTGGGCGGAGGGCAGGGGGATGGGGCTGGGGCCGGGCTGGGGCGGGGCTGGGGCTGGGCCGGACTGGGCGGAGGGCAGGGGGTGGGGCTGGGGCTGGGCCGGACTGGGCGAAGGGCGGGGGGTGCGCAGACCCAGCACCCCTCTCCTCGGAAGCCCCACTGCCCACATGCATCCTGGAAGGGGGCCTGCCTCCCCGGTTCCCCTGCCTCACCCTCTCCTCTCCTTCCCCAGCCATGGACCAGGTGGCTAAAGCGACCCAGGAGACCGCGGACAAGACGGCCAGCCAGGCCTCGGAGGCCTTCTCCGGCTTCGGGAAGAAGATGGGTCTCCTGAAGTGACAAAGGGGCCCGGCACCCCTCCGCCCGAGCCCTGCTCCGGCGCCCCGGCATGAGGCCTCATTAAAGCCCTGCCCCGAGCCTGTGTCCGCGTCCTGCCTCGCCCCGGCCCTGGGCAGAGCCCACACCAGGCCCCTGTGCCCCCGGGGCTGCCGCCCTGGCACCGGAGGCTCCTCACAGCAGGCTCAGCTCAGCAGCCGCCCCCTGAGGAGGGGACACTCGCCCCAGGTCCTGGGGGATGGGGGGCTCAGCTCTGGGAACTGCTCTCCCATAGCGCCCGGCACGGGGCACCCCTGGGAATGGGGCTCCCCTGGGCACGGGGCATTCTGGGAATGGGGCTCCCCTGGGCAAGGGGCATTCTGGGAATGGGGCTGTTATGCCCAAGTGTCATCAACCCCAAAGACTACCAGGGAGCCGAATCCCATGCAATTGCTGAAAGCCTGTATTTATTTCGGACTAGTCCGAGCCCAATCTCACCTACACCAACGAGGGCATGGGCGAGAAAGAGGAAGAACTTAACATATCAATGGGTTTTATAGGGAGGGTGGTGCCGCTACCTTGGCTGACCTGATTGGTTGGGTTAGGCCTAGGGTCCAGTTACCTGGAGCTGGACCCGCCCCACCCTGCCCTCTCGCCCCTCCTGCCCCCTCACCCCGCCCTGCCCTCTCAGGGCACCCCTGAGAATGGGGCACCCCTGGGCAAGGGGCATCCTGGGCTCGAGGCACCCCTGAGAATGGGGCACCCCTGGGCACGGGGCATCCTGGGCTCTGGAGCTCGCCGACCACGCCCAGTCCCGGGGCGGGCTTCTGGGCCTCCCACCCGCCGCACGGGAAGGGGGTTGTGTGCCGGCTTCTCCGGGTGTGTGTGTGCCGCCTGCGGGGTGTGTTTGTGCCGGATTCTGGGGCGGTGAGTCAGCCTGGCTGGGACCCGGAGCCCCGCCCTGGACTTGTTTGAGGCGGGAGGAGCCGCCCTGGGACCTCGGTGCCTCCGCGGGGCGCGGCCCCGGCGCCTGCCGCCTGCGCCCCTGTCCTTGGCCGTCACCCCCCCCCCCCCCCCGCACGTGCCCCGGTGCGTGAGGCAGCCCGGGGCCGCCCAGCGGGGCTCCTGCCGCCGCGCCCCCCCCCCCCCCCCCCCGCGCCCTCTGGGGGCCGGAGCCGCCCACGTCCCCGGCCTCGGCCTGGGAAGGAGGGGACGCCGTTCCTCCGATGCCGCTCAGGGGACGGGGCAGCCTGAGGTGACGCCCTGCTGGGCCTCTCCCTTCCCCTCGGGCCAGGCGCCCCACCCTCACCCCAAAGCCCTGCTCTGCAGAAGGGACCGGCTGGCCGCTCCCGCACAGACACCTGGGCGGGCTGGGCTGCCCCCAGCGTGGGGGGGGGGGGGGCAGGAGGGGGGAGCCGGGGAGGGAGAGGACAGTGGGGATGGGTGGGGCTGAGCCGGTGGCCCCCACGTCTTTTCTGGCGACTCCTGGAGAAGTCCCATCGGCTTTTTAGAGGGCCAGGGGACTTCTGGGAAAGGTTTTTCATAATAAAAAAGAAACAAAACCGGAAGAAGCAGCCCAACCTGCAGCTTGGGTGAGCGCCCTGACTGGGAATCAAACATGACCCTTCCGCGCAGGGAGGATGCGCAGATCAACTGCGTCAGCCTGGCCAGGGCTCCACTGTGCATTTTCGTGGCTGGAAATGACGCTTCCAACTGTGCCAGCCACTTGTAACCACAGAGGAACAAGCCCGAGGAAACGCCAGCTTGCTGGTTAGGACAGAGCAGAACTACAGAAAGAACCTGGGTCCCGCTTCCTTTATTCAGTCCCTGAACCAATCTTGCAACTGCCACATGTCCTCCTCCTCTGAGCCACTGTCAGGCTTCCTGCCGCAAACAAAATCCCCGCACGCCTTCCCTTTCAGTCCCAGACCGGACCTTTCTTCATTTCCCGGCCCCACGCCTGCTGCCCCAGGTCTGCACATGCTGGCTTGTTTTTTTGTCTGGAATGCTCTCCATTCTCCCTCTGAATTACCCTCCTCCAGGCGGCTCCTACTCTTTCACCCTTCTGGTCCCTGTCTGCCCCCAGCCCTCACACACACACACACACACACACACACACACTCAAAATGGTCGACCACATACACTCACAGCCCACGCTTCCTTTCCAGTTATACTAAGCAGTCACTTTCTTGTGTGCATCTCTGTGACGATCGTCCATGTGGCTGCAAGCAAGGCTCTTCTACTGACTGGAGCACGCCCTCCTAGACTGGGGTCCGGTAACATCTGCTGAACCAAGGCAGGTGCGGCTCCGTTGGCTCACTTACTGAATGGCCTGAGCTCACCTACTGTCAGGTTCACAGTGGTGCCATCTCCCGGCAGCCCCTTCCACTCTGCCCCCACCCTGTGCAGCCGGCGCTCCACGCACCATGCAAATGCCTGTGTCTGTGTCCCCAGCGCGGAGTCTGAGGAGGAGTCCAGGTTCCACTTGTCTTTTGCCCCAGGTCTGGAACACCGTGGGCAGGCGCCCCAGGGAGCCCGTGAGAACCTGTGGGAGCCCAGGCCTGCCTCCAGGAGGCTGAGGAAGCTAGTTGAGCCCAGATCAGCCAAGAAAGAGAACACTGTGGCCACCATACCTGTGGGGTCTCAGTCAAGTCTCCAAAGATGGATTCTTTCATTACCAATCCCCCCAAATAATTCTTAATTCTCCAAAGTCCAGTTCCCCAACTGGCAAAACACAATCACTAGCATCACATTTTGGTTCCACTTGACTTCTCAGCTCTGATTCCCAGTGGGTTATAGACAGAAGAGAAACCAGCTGCAAACAGGATGGGCTTCACAGGAACCCAGCCCAATAAACGTAGCCAACCACAAAGAAGAAATCAACGTATAGCAGACCAAATAGTGTAATAGTAGAGGCCTGGTGCATGGGATTCGTGCACCGGTGGGGCTGTGTGGCCTGGTTGTCCAGAGGAGGTGGCAGGGAGTGAGGAGGAGGAGGAGCCTGAGGGGAGGAGGTGACGATCGCAGCCCGGGTTCCTGCCCATTGGGCCCAGGTTCACAGTGGGAGAGCCGCTCATCGCCGTCAGCCAGTGGAGCAGCACTCCTGTGGGAGCGCACTGACCACAGGGGCAGCTCCTGTGTGAGCGTCCACGCCCTGGTGGTCAGTGCACATCATGGCGACTGGTCAACCAGTCGTTCTGGTCGTTCCACCATTTGGTCCCTGGGTTGGCTGAGCCACCCTTCTGAGAGACGGAGCTTTGGCTGTAAATCCCCTGTCTCCTTTTCTGCTGCAAGTAAAAACAAACCAAAAACAAACAAACAAAATAACTACCTTGGGACAACCACTTCTTGTTCTTGAATAAAACACCCAAGCAGTGACACCCTTAAGTTCTGTAACAAGCTAAGAAGAAATCTGGGGTTGAGTCAATAATTGTTATTCATGAGTGTCCATTGTTATCTATTTTTGTACATGGCATTTTCTATTTTAAAAAAGGCTAAAAAGCCAAAACCGGTTTGGTTCAGTGGATAGAGCATCAACCTGCGGACTGAAGGGTCCCAGGTTCAATTCCGGTCAAGGACATGTACCTTGGTTGTGGGCATATCCCCAGTGAGGGGTGTGCAAGAGGCAGCTGATCGATGACTCTCTCTCATCGATGTTTCTAGTTCTCTAGCTCTCTCCCTTCCTCTCTGTACAAAATCAATAAAAATATTTAAAAATTTTTTAAAAATAAAAATAAAAAAGATAAAAAGATTAAAAAAAAAAAAAAAAGGACTTGTGTGAACCATAATCTGAGTTCTTAAGTGTGTGGTCTTATTGGTCTATAGCCTTTATCCTTTATCCTTGGCTGGGTTTGAAATTTACAATCCACGCTATTTTCCTTGAGTGTCTTGTAGGTGTTGCTGCACTGCCCTCTGGCACAGAGGTTGAGCAGTCCCCAGCATTTCTAACAAGTGACTTGATCTTTCAGGCTGGCCAACTTGCTTTATTTTTTAAAGTACAATGTCTATTTTCTAGGATTTGTGTTGGTGATGATTGTTCTGGTTTAGTTTTCCATAGTATGCAACATGCCCTTTCTATATAGATTCTAGGTTTCTTTTATATCAGGAACATTCCTGGGGGAAAAGGGGACATGACAAAAAAGTCTGTTTTTATATTGGGATGTGGGGAGTAGAAAAGAAAGTCCCAATACTGGGCCTTACTCAAGACTTGGAGGAAATAAAAGTTGTTAAGAAATACAGGTGTATGTTGTGATGGAAGAAGCAATGAAGTGAAGTGTGAAAGCCCCTCACTTCCTCTGCTTTGCCTCAGACTATGTCCTGAAACCCTGAGGTCTTTCAGTCCTGCGTCTTGGGATTGTTGATGGCCACATAGTAATACAGAATGACCAGCAGGAGGAGCCACATCCCCAGCATGTTGTGAAGACAGTGAGCACCATGATGAGCTGGGCATGCCTCTGACACAGCTGTGCAGAAGTTCAAGGTAGCAATGAGCTCTTCTTAACTTTACCTTAAATTATTTGCTCTATTCCATTGCTTGCCTTTCTTCTTTGGGAACTCCAATTATAGGCATGAAGTCTATTTTATTTTATTTTATTTTATTTTATTTTATTTTATTTTATTTTATGAAGTCTCTTTTACCTGGTTTCCACGTCTGACACTTTTACCAAACATTGTGTATCTCTTTAATATGATTCCTTTCCTTCCTCTTTTCTATTTTCTTCTTTTCCTTTCCTTTCCCCCCTCTCTATTCATAGGCACTTACTGTGGTTGCTTGTAGTTTAGCCTTCATTTCTAAAATGGCTTATTTCACCTTTATTCTTCTATTTTACTCCTGAGATATGTAAGTTCCTGTTCTGCCCAGTCAGATGTCTGCCCTCATATCCCATAACTCTGGTGTTTTACAGTCTTCCTAATGCTATATTAAGTGTCTTTAAGAAAAAAAACATGAGGAATCAAGATGGCAGCTTAGGTAAACACTGGTACTCACCCCCTACCACAACCACATCAAAATTACAACTAAAATACAGAACAATCATCATTAAGAACCACCTGAAATCTGGTTGAATGGAAGTCCACCAACTAGAGAAGTAAAGAGAGCACA